TCTAACCTAGGAATTTACCTGAGGTGACACCAAAGACACACTTGCTAGGGTTCAACTTCATACCATACTTGCACAGAATTTCAAAAACATTGCAAGTCACTTATTAAACAGTCTGAGAATTGGGTTTTGATGACCATGTCGTCTACATAGCATTCAACCTTATTGCCGATCAATGACTCAAAAAGTTTGTTGACAAGTCTTTGAACAATACAGTCCTAGCTCGGTTATGAATGTTTTTTTTTCCTCGTCGGTGARGTYCATCTTGATATGGTTATAGCCCGAGTATGCGTCCAGAAAACTCAACAACTCGTGCCCTGAGGTCGCATCCACTAGACGATCGATCTTAGGGAGAGGGAAACAATCCTTCGGGCAAGCTCGATTCAGGTCGGTGTAATCAACGCACATGCGCCATTTACCGTTGGCCTTTTTTACCAGAACGAGGTTAGCCACCCAACTCGGGTAGTGGACCTCCCTGATGAAATCGGCTGCGAGGAGTTTCCCGACCTCCTCATCGACTATCCTCCAACATTCCGGGGCGAGGTTGCGTTTTTTCTGTCTAACTGCCCTGACTAAAGGATCAGTATTCAACCTGTGAGTTATTACCTTAGCATCTATATTGGGCATCTCGGTCGCGGATCAGACAAACACATCTAAATTCTTAAGTAAAAAACTTACCAGTCGAGAGCGAAGAGGTTCCTCGATCGCTGCTCTGATCTGGAGGGTCCTGGCTGGATCTTCCGTTGAGGTTAGGATGTGGATCGTCCCTTCGGTTGGCGTGGCTTGCTCCTCAAAGTACTCCATAGGTCGCTCTAACTCGAGGTCGTCTGCTAGCTTGGCTTTCCCTTTGAGAGCGGCAACGTAACACTTCTGGAACTCGAGCTGGTCGCCCCAAGCTACCCCTACYCCGAAGTCCGTGGGGAACTTCATGGCCAGGTAGTAGGTAGATACCACCGCGCGAAGCACATGAGTGACGGGCTATCCCACAATGGCATTGTACGGGGAAGGCGTCACGACCACTAGGAAGGCATGTTCAAACCTCGCGATGTTGGGCCATGTGCCGACCTCCACCGGTAAAGAAATTCGCCCAAGGGGCCTGACTTCTTCTCCGCTAAAGCCCACTAGAGGAGTACTTGCAGGCTGGAGGTCACTTTCCCGGAGTTGTAGCTTGTCGAAGGTGCCTTTGAACAGGATATTGGCCGAACTCCCTGAATCTACTAGGATGCGCCTGACTTCGAAGTCGTTGATCTTCATTCTTATGACCAGTGCGTCATTGTGGGGGTACTGAATCCCGCGGGCGTTGTCCTCGGTAAAGAATATAGGGTCCTCAGGCCACAACCGCTTTGGAGGGTTATGCTCTTCGCGTTCTAGTTCGCAGACTGAAGTCTTTCCTGCTATTGTGGAACAACCCGTGACAACTGACCCGCCAGTGATCGTATTGATTACCCCACGAACTAGTCTTTCTTCAGGCAGTTGCCTCTGTTCACTCGGCCTGTTGCTGGGCTCGGGAGCGTCTTTCTTTTGCTCCCCTCGCTGATCTGTCCGGCCTTTATTATTCCTTTGTACAAATTTTCTCAAGTACCCGTGACGGATGAGCTCTTCAATCTCGTCGTGGAGGTTTTTACAATTTTCGGTGCTATGACCGTGGTCTATGTGAAAGTGACAATATACATTTTTATTTCTAAGGGTCAGGTCGCTCCTCAACTGGGGTGGCCACTTCACAAAGGAAGCGTCCTTGATCGCCATGAGAATTTCCCCTCGCTTCGCGTTGAGGGGTGTGAAGCTTGTTCTTTCAACCGGGAGAAMTCGGGGGTGAAAATCCGACATGTTCCCTCCCCTGGTGGGGGACTTGCTTTTCTTTCTCTTGCCGCCACCATTGTTTGAGTTGTGGTCTTCCCTCTTTCTTTTCTCTACTGGGGCTTCAGCCCGTTGGTTCATCTCCTCCTCGGTCCTGATGAACTGATTGGCGAGCTTAAGGAAGTCTGTGATGCCTTTGGATTTATTTGCCACCACATGCCACTTGAATTCTCTATGGGTGATCCCCTTTTTTCCTGTCACGAGTCTTACAGCCGGGTCTAAGTCTGGGATTAGTAGGCAAGTGTCGTTGAAGCATTTGATGTAGCTCCGAATTGACTCTCCTTCCCTCTGGACTATACTGAGAAGGCTTTCTTGTGACCTCAGACACTTCTTACTGGTGATGAAGTGCGAGGTGAACAACTGTACGAGTTGCACCCAACTTTTAACCGTCCCAAGTGCAATGTTTCTATACCAAGTGCAAGCTACCCCTTTGAAGGTTGTGGAGAAAGCAACACACATGCAGGCTTCGTCAGCCCCAACGAGGTGCATCTGGGACTGGAAAGAGTCTACGTGGTCGTTTGGGTCGAAAGACCCGTCATATTTATCCAGGGGGGAACCCTGATGTTCATCGGCATCGGGGAGGCCAGGAGCTCGGGGGACAGTGGAGAGGGTACAGAGAGGAGGGGAGCGGTTTTTGTGATTCTCGAGCTTACCTCCATTTTGCCTTTAGGCTGCTCAGGTTGGCTAGGTCCCGCGAGCTGACTTGGATTTACTGCCCGAGGTGCCCTAGCACGTATCCTTTGCTGCTGCTTGACTGGCTCCGCAGCGGTGCTGCTGACCTCCGCACTGTCAGATGGTGCTTTGGTCGGAAGTGACTCGGACTACCGGCTACTACGGACTGAAATGTCTTGTCTGGAGTCCTCAACTAGGACCTCGAACCGGTTTCCTGCAAGAGTGCCTTCAGGTCGCAAAGGCCGAGGTGGACTGGTTCTGGTGGGTCGAGTATCTCTCGACCTGCTTACTTGCTGGGAGATGGGAGGAACTTGTCTTTCCCTCCTTCCGCGAGACGAGACCTAGGAGGTCTCTCCCCGGCAAGGATGGCTGTTTTGGCGGCGAGGCTTGCTCGGGGTGATCGGACACTGAGGTGGGGTTGGTTGCTGGTTCTACTGCAGCGGTGGGAACTGCTGCTGGTACATGTGGTGCAGAACTTGTTGCTGGTACTGCTGGAACTGCTGGACCTGCTGCATTTGGGATTGAATGGCTCGTACACAGTATACCAAGTCGCTTAGTTGGTTTTGTCCTACTCCAGGGGGAACTATAGATGGTTCAACGGGGGTCGCACCCACTACAGGGGGAAGTGGGGCATTCACAGGCTCAGTTGGTTGAGGTATAGTAGGTGTTGGGATCCCACCCGTGGGGAGCGGTATGGTGAACTGGCCTATACAGACAGTTGGGAACTGAGGTTGCCCCCGGAGACGTTTTCTTCTCTGTGTTGTCTGCGTTGCTGGAAGAAGCCATGGGTTTGATTTTGAGTTTGAGGTTTTTGGAATGGAGATAAAAAGGCTTTTGGTAATGATTTCCCATAGACTGCGCCAATTGATGTGGCATAATCCGACTGCTCCCTGCTGGATATGATCTGGCTGCCAGCAACGACGAGAACTGAGGTTCCTGAAAGAGATAAAGTCAGAGATCCCGGGGTGGCTCACCCGACAGGGACACTTCAATGGCTAAGTTAGAACAGTGGTAGTAGAGAGCTTGAAGGTGATAGTAGTGAAAGAGCTAGAGAGCGAAAATTACACACAACAATAATAATAGAACGTACCTTCGCCCCTGGGGGCTCGGAGTCTTTATATATTGGAGTCCATGCGAGTTGGTGGAACGGTTACTGGATCCCTGCTGTGATGGGACTTGCTTGCGTGTTAGGTGGGTAAAATGCCATCAAACAGTAAGACTGTCCCTTCCCGTCAGAACAGGGGAGTTGGTGAACTAATGTAACCGTTAGAAAGTACGGTCCTGTGGGATACAGAGTACGGAGGTGTGCTCCTCGAGGTTGCCATGCGGAGGTCTGAACGGTAGGTGAGCTGCCTATAGGGTACCGGGTGTTTGATGGCGAGCTGATTGGTAGCGAGCTTCTCGAGCTCGTGCTCCTTAGGTCCATCCTGACATGAATGCTGAAGTGCCCTTGGACCGAGGTGATCCCGATGCGATCTCGTGCTGAGGTACGCTTGCCCTGAAGTAGTCCTGATCGAGGTGGTTCATCTGTCCGGGCTCGATCTGGTACCGGTACGATCTTAGCTCGAAATGACTTTAGTTCGGGGTACTAGCGTACCTGAGATCGCTTCATAGCGAGCTGGTTTATGCTGAGCCGTCACCCGTGTTGAGTCATGTCCACGTGCCGATCTGATCACGTCAAGTTGTCGCTTATATCGAATCACGTCCACGTATCTTCCTGTCACAAGGTCGGGTCAAATTCCCCTTCATCACTAACCAAAGAGTTATGACCCATTCATTTGGAAGGGCTGAAGCTTGGGTTAAATTGCTTCAGACTGATTGGGTTGGGTATAGGTGGATTTAGGTTGAATCCAACTTGTTTAATTTTATTTGAATAGACCATTTACGGGTTGATGAATTAGGCGGGTTGGATTGAATCTCAACTCAAACCCACCCAATTGCCACCCCTAGGAGTAAGTAAGACTCAGATTAAACTGAACGGATGAACCACACGGTGATCCAATGACCTTTCTAGTTCCTAGGTCGGTAGGTCCTGGTTAAATGATGGTTTTCACAGTTTGACGACTAATTGTGTACTTAACTGATAAAAGTAAACCATGACCAAGTGAGCATTCCGGTTTTATGTCCAGTCCGTGTCTTACAACATTATTTACATCAAGAGCGAAGAGGAACATTCGATGAGTAAACAATCATGATTATGAGATTATTCGATTAGATTCTTACTCAACCTGTGAGAGAACCTTGGAAGACCAATCTTCTTAAGTCCGGCTTCCATAAATTCACGGCTAAATATAATAATGAAAACCCAGCATTTAAATTTAAAAATATATACAATGATGAGAAATTTGTCCTTGGGCTTAGGGACTTGTGGCCAAGGGGAAAACTGGAGGACCTTACGAATAAGAGGTGGATCCATGTGGTGAGTGTAGAACTTAAAAGCATCCCTCAGCTTTTGATTCTTTTTTCTTAATAAATTGTTAATGAATAAATGATCGCTCGACCCTGCTGCCTTATTGATTTAACACACCATGTGCAATACAAAGCATCAGGCAATATACATTTGCCAAAGAAAAGACAGTAATAACATTAAACAGACAATTGAAGTGAAGAAAATAAACTCTCCTAAAGACTTCTCTAGTCGCTAATCAATTGGATAAGCAACGCCTAAATTTCTTAGTTCTATTATTGTACAACAATGTACACAGTGAGACGCGTAACTATATTGTGACACAATTAAAACTGGAAAGGTTAAGGCTCTGGATTGGTTCTGCAAACAAACAAAAAGGTCCTGTCATCAACTGGAACCAGAATCAAGCTTCCCGTTAGAGTTAAGAATAGTTCCATTCTTCTGACTACAAGCTGAATCATTTTCCCTTGAAGTATCTTGTTGATGACCGTTTACATCACCATTAGTGGATTGGAGAACTGTGCTAGCATTGTTGTCTTCAAGATCAGCAATGGCCTCTGGTCCATATAACTGAGTCAGCTCTTCCTGTTTCAGCAAATTAGTCCTATTAGCTTCAGAAGCAGCAGCGACAGCAGAAGAAGAATTAGTAGTAATAAATCCATGCAGTGGCCTATCAACTGAACCAGCCCAGATCAATTTAACTACACAACCTTATGCAGGTGATTTATTAGCATTTCCTTATAAAAAGCAAAGAATTGCAAACATCAAATTGCTAAAAGGTTGCTCTGCATTTTCCTTTCTTAAGCTCAACATAAAAATTCACTTGCAGGCTTTTCTTTTTATTGCTCAAGACTTCCTTATTTCTTTATCCAAAAAAGACTCCATTATTTGATTAGAAAAGATGATGAGAAGATTTCCTTGAAAAAGCAAATCTTAATTTATAACTTTTAGAAAAAAAATTGAGGCATAGGAATTTCTGCACACTCTAATGTAGATGTAATGATTAGGACGTATGTTAAGGAAAGTGTGTGATAGTGCAATGAACCAATGTTAGAACGTTTGGGAGAGAGACATCAGATTTTTGCAGTTATGATGGGCCTCCACTGAGATTCAGCACTTGGCCCCTATTTATTTGCACTGATCAATTGATCATGGATGAATTCACTAAACATATTCAGGAGGAGGTCCCATGGTGCATGTTGTTTGCTGATAACATTGTTTTAATTGATGAAACTAACAAATAATTAAATGTAGAATTAAGCTTGTGGACAAATGACAACAAGAGGGTTTAAAATAGGACTAAAACAGAATGTATATGGCATGTAAATTCAATGACAATGGAAATGCAAATCAGGGTATACTTGGGATTGGCGACCAATAGATAACTCAATGTGACCTTTTTCGGTACCTCGGTTTGATAATTCATAACAAGGGAGAGATTGAGGGTGACACCCATAGAATTAGAATAGGATAGAAGAAATGGACGGGGTGCATATGGAGTTTTATGTGATAGGCAAGTACCACTTAGATTAAAAGGAAACAGAAATGAAGTCATTCTTAGGAACTTAGGAGTAGCTCCAAGAGGTGAAAAAATGAGAGAAAGTAGACTAAAATGATTTGGTCATGTGCATAAAAAACCATCAACAGCATCCGCAAGAAGTGATTTGTTACAAGTTGAAGGGGTTGGAAGGGCAAGGCGTAGAGACCAAAAAGGCCATGGATAGTAGTAAGAAATGATTTAAGCACCAACAATTTAACAATGGATATGGCCATTAAACAGAATGGAGTGGTGAAACAGGATTCATGTAGCCCACCCCATATAGTAGGGATAAGGCTTGAACGGCGATGATGTTGAATGACAAACAAAATATACTATCAAATAGAGAAAAACAATAACTTTATAGGGGTATTCTTCTCTTTCACAATCCTAAATTAGGAGTGTTACATTCATCAAAAGTAGAGGGTGCTCTAATTTCAAGCCATAMGTCCATAACAATTTATAAGTAAAACAGGGCAGTAAACCATTCAGCGTTAGTACAGAAATGTCACCACAGCCAGAAGGGGAAAAACACCGTATCTTGAAACCTACAACTCAAAGAATATGAAATTTAGAAAATGACAAAAATGATTAACCTAATGGCTCCTAAAGCCTGGACCTTATGTCCAATAAGTAGAAAATGAGAAAAGAACCCCTTTATCCAAAAAATACTGAATATGCATGAAAATAAAAAAAGATTAGAAAATCTCTTTATCCACCATTTAACTTCTCCATAGCTGTGCCTCCAAAATTAGGTACTGGGAACCTGAAAAATCCCCTAGTGTTGGACCAGCAAGCAATGAAGACCTGGTAATGACTCTTACAAGCTCTCTGCCTCATCCTCATTATCCAAATTTTCTCTTACAGAATAAAATACGTAGGCCCTTTGGCTCTAAGGTGGGACCAGGCAAACCTGCCTTCAAATAGAACAATCCACCTACACAAGGATAAAAAAAACTCAAATACGTCATGGGATGATGGCAAAAAAAGGTATTTCTCTTTGTTGTGAAAACCTTTAACTGTCCATCCTTCCTAATTTCAGGAATTAAACCACTACCAGAGCAGATATCAAGTGGCTCAACACTCTTTGCACAACCAGATCCACCATCAAAACCCACAACTAGTACACAGCTTGATCCCTCAACAATCTCCTCTATTGCATCAATCTCAACCCCATCCCTAGGATCTTCACTAGCGTATGACTCCAGTCTTCCAATCATATCATTTGAGCAGCTTTGCTCTCACTTCTAAGATGACTTTTTCTCGTGATTCAAAGATATGAATCACATCTCTTGTTGAGCCAAAACCATCAATCATTGCTCATCAAGATCCAGTGGGTCATTGTGACAATGACCAAGTCTGTTYGCTTGATCTGGTTACCAATCAAAGTAAATAAATAATAAGCATAGGATGAAACTGAATTTTGGTGGTAGTTCTGTAGGTAACCCCAGCGCCTCTGGAGTTAGGGATGTTTTTAGAGATGTGGAAGGAAGAGTCTTGGCCCTTTTCTCTGGTCCAATTGGGATGGATGACTCACTTAGAACAGAGGTGATGGTGCTACTTCAAGGACTCAGATTGGCTAACAGCYGGGTTTTCAACAGCTGTTGGTCATAGGATGGATGCAAACAAACCGCTTGGGCATTTGGTCTCTTAGGCAACCTGTAAGGGAAAATGGGAAATAATGAACCTAACAAGGGAGCTTGAAGCACAGTTTAAATGGACTAGGAGGTCAGCAAATGGTTCGGCTGATGCATCAGCAAAGCAAGGAGTTAATAGGGAGACTTTGTTTTGGGCATGTTTGCAAGTTGTTCATGATATGAGGGGTCACCTTACTTTTGAAGGTGACAGTTAATAATAATAATAAGAATAAGAATATCCTCCTATTCCTCTCTTCTCAGATGCTTGCACAAATATCTGTAAGTCCCTAGGCATATATGCTTGTGATTGTGCATTTTGCATGTCATTAAAGTTAACGGAAGAATAAGTGCCCTAATTTAGTGTCTCACACATGATAAACTGCATAAGACATGCTCTCATGTATACTTTAGAAGTAAATTAAGATACATCCAAATGCATCAAACCCCATGTTCAGCATGTGCTGACATACTTTATGTCGAAGTGTGTCCAACACTTCATATACTTGTACAAATCACTAAAGAAGAAGAGGTTTTGAAAGACACCCTACTCTCCTTGAACAGGTTGCACCAGTTCTTTGGAACAGGACCATCTCCCCCAATCATCTCACTAAGGCCAGGGTCATAAGAAGGCTTAACAGAGCTCCTAAATGAGTTCTTTAGCACTAAAAAGCATCTCTACCTACCCTCCTCTGCAGACCTATATAAACCAGAATACCATGTGTATCCTTGGATCGAGATACCACTTCTCAAATCCTTGGTGAGTTGGGTCAACAAATAGAATTTATTTGTATCAACTAGTTAATTGACAAACAAAAGGACAAACCAAGAGGAAATATAGATGGGAGTAAACAATAATAATGAAATCAAGAATATATATATATATATATATAAGGATATAGTAGTGAACCATTAAAGACTTATTTTCTGATGTAAGCTTTGCACATTCTTCAGCAAGCCTCTCGAGCTCAGTCCTGAGTGTGTGATTCTCAGAAGTCAATGTTTGCACCTTTGATTGCAGCTCTTCACATTCTGCCTGGTGACAATAAAGGAAAGGAATCAGTTTGATCAAAACAAGATAAAAAGAACAACTTCTAAAGAGGGACAATAACTATCAATATTATCATGCATGCTATCTTTCTTTACCAAATGGATTTTTGTTTTTTTTTTATTATTATTATTATTATTTTTGGGGGGAGGGGGGGAATGGTAATCTTCTGTTTTTTGGATCTGCAACAGAAACATTTCATTAATTTAATATTTACAAAAAGATATGATTGAGGAATTACAAAAGAGATAAACCAATCCATTGGAGCATAGCCCCTGCTATCTCCCCCAAATTACGAATCATTACAATTCAGCCCAAAACACTTGGTTTCTAGTGACCCCCTGCTTAGCTAGTGTATTAGCCATACCAACCTATTAATCCACTGAACCCTAATTTGTAAATTCCTTGACAACCATTTTGGCTTCTTCGTCGAATTTCTATATTCCCATATACTGGTAATCAGAAATTTCATTAATTCAAAAAAGGAATAACCAGTTTTCTGAATGGATTTTCTCAACAGATAGAAGCTTGGAAAAGAAAGAAACACAGATCTAAACAAGATACACCAGCTTTACTCAAGAGTTTCTATGCAATATGTTCATGGCCTCTCACTAAATTAGCTAATGGTGTGATTCAGGCTTAGGCTTTAATATAAGAATGAAAGGACTGGATCTATGGGAGCAAAAGTTTCTTATTTGGTATGCTGGTGTATGTGAAATGAGAGGAATTGTAGAATATTTCATGGCAAGGAAAGACTTTTTTATTAAAACATCTGACAAATGTTCACGGCTTCATAATTGGATGGAAAAAATCAGTCAAAGATTCAGCTCTTTCATGAGAAGAGATTTTGTATTTAAGCAGAACTATGTTTTGGGTGCAGCCCAACTCCATAATAATTGGGATCATGGTTCAACGTTTTAATTTTGTTAAGCATCTCATCATGTGCAAAAAGGGAATTTTCAGATAAGTTTTGTAAGTTTCACTTAGATGTTTGAAAAATCTGAGGTAATTGGAAAGATATTAAAAATATTAGAAAGAACATGAGGTTATTTGTGAAACTTCAGTAGATAACATCTCTCCATTAAACTTAAACAAATATCTAACAAAACTGAAGATTTGAAGCTTGGATCTCCCAACATGTTCTCAAATTTGAAAAAGCCTACTTGCTTATAAGCTCTAAACAGTTTATTTGACATAGGGTATGGCTAATATTGGGTGATAACAGCTGAATTCAATAGTACAATGCCTATGGAAGAGGTTGCTAGTGGATACTGATGTATAAGCATTGACTAAGACAATATAAACCAGTTCCATGGATACATGAAACTTGTCAGATACTGCATTGCCTAAACCAGCAAGTTTGAAACACATGATAACAGTACAGATTATTATTTTTCTTTTTTGAGGAAAAGGTAAAGTAATATAAAAGACAAAAAGCAATAGCCAAATCTGCACAACAAGGATCTGTGCAGTGCTCAACCAGAAGCTGTACATCAAACTACATGATTACTCTGTAAACCTATTATCAAGTGCCATCCTTGTTTTTGAAGGAATGATGGTAAGTGTTTTTTATGCAACTCTTGGAAACATTGCCCTACAGTCATGGGTAAGGGCCATGAAAAGACACACTACAAGATAAAGATGTATATGTCTTTTCATGGGTCTCACTTGGTCTGTAGAGTGGAGAAAACAAAAAGTTGCATAAATTCATTGTTTACCAGCATTCCTCTTGTTGCTGTTTGACAATATAACCATGATTAACTATCTACATACTAGAGATACTCTGCTGTGTTATTGTCAGAGGGCATAACTTTGAGTAATGATACCACAGATAGGGGTGATATTTCAGTCGGAACTGAAAAACCAAACTGAAAATTTTGGTTTCAGTTTTAGGGTATTTCAGAAACTGAAAATTCAGTTAACTGAAAAATCGAATTCCATACACATGCATATATGTGTGTATGTATAATGAAATTCAGTTTTAACCGGAATAACCAAATAAGAAATTTGGTTCAGTTATTTCAATATTTCCTTAATTTGGTTTTGGTTCAGTTTTTTTTATTGGAAACGGTAACTTCACTAAGCAAATTAGGATGTATCAAGTACAACTGTCAGCCCCAGAATAGGTGCTGACCCCAAAAGACCTTTTTTACAATTCTGCCCAGAATAGCCTTTCCCTCAATACCCCTGGTTAGCTAAAGTATCAGCTATTCCATCAGCTGATCTTCTAGTCCATTTGAAAGAAGCCCCAATCTCCTTAGTTATGTTGGTGATCTCCCTTATAGCATGTCTATAAATCCAAGCTCCGAAGCTTCCTGACTTCAACTAATCAATGAGCATTTTAGAGTCACCTTCTATCTCTATTCGGTTCAGCTCCATCTGTTTGGCAAATCCCACACCTTGAAGCAAAGTCTGCCCTCAAAGAGTCACCTACACCTATAGACCCTGAATACATGGCAACAATTTCACCGTCTCCACCTCTGAATACTCCCCCAATTCCTGACAGTCCTGGATTGCCTCTAGAGCTCCCATCAAAGTTTTGGTTCAGTTTTCCCTCTTTAGAATTTCAGTTAATTTGATTTGGTTTTTAACCAAATAAACTGAATGCTCACCTCTAACCACAGAGGACTAAAAGTATGGAAGGAAAGTATGAAAATAACCCAAATTATAAAAAGAAAGTAGGAAAAGTTGACCTTCAGATTAAAGACATAAATAGAGATAAGGATTAGCTTTATGAGTAAAGCATACGGAGGATTAGCTTTATAGGTGGTAAGCCATACACAAAATGACCATAAAACACTGCATTGAAGAAGAGACAAGGAAGGCTCAAAGGTCAAGGGGAGGCATTGAAGGCTAATTGATGGCTTTACAGTATCGATCAAGGCTGGCTTTCTTCATGTCACAAACTTCATAGGAGAATGAGATTCCATCATAAACAGTAAATGATTTAGGCAATAGCAGTCCAGCCCCATGGAAATGCAGAAATCTATTTAGGGACATTAGAAAACTGGTAAGAGAGTTCAGAGTTCAGGACTTCAGGTTTAGTGAATTCCAAGGGAGGGAAACAATATCGGACACATGCTAGCTAAGCAAGGGGTACACAGAACCAATATGTGTTAGGGGGTCATTAACTGGAGACCAAGGCAACTAGAACGCTTGCACAAAAGATGTATCTGGGTTGGTAGCAAGGGCTACCAGGGGTCCTTGCTTTGGGGAAAACACTTCCTTGTATTCTTACACACATTCTTTTCTCTATAAATAATAAAGTTAAGAGTTAACAATAAAAAAAACCTTATAGATTTCCCATGCCCCATAAAGCAATGAAATGGTCATCAAGAATTTAAATCAAAAGACTAATGCTAGCCCCTTTTGTTGACCAAAGAGATGCAAAATTTCACTTAAAGGATCTGGGCTTAGTTTGTTCTTTCTTTCTTTCTTTTACATTTCTTTTTTTGGGCTTATTATGTTCTTTATATAGTTTAATGTTTTCATTTCCAATAACATAAAAAAGGTTGGGCCTGGTGGAAGTATTTTGTTGAATAAAAGAGGTAAGTTCAAATCTCACTAGCGACAGAAACAGAAATGTGCATGGAAAAGGAGATTTCTTTTTTTTATTGATAAAAAAATTCTTTTTACTCAACACAAGGCAACTAAACTCAACCTAACAAAATCATTATCCGGGAGCCTTTCATTCGCCTTCAAGCTACTACAGTTAAGATTGAAAATTCAGTTCTTCAGGTTGGGTTTGGGTTGTCCCAAACCAGCCAAAACTGTACAAAAATCTGTACAAAGCACTCAGTATACCTGCTTCCGTAATCTTGACCTCCTTGCTGACTCCCGATTAGACTGTTTTCTTCTCTGTCTTTTTAGTTCACGTTCATCCTGTCAAGGGAACAGTTCCAAGTCAGCAAAGATGTTGAAATTAAGTAAAACCATTAAATAAGCTTGAAATTAAGAAGCTAAATAAGATTAATTTCCAATGTAAAAATCCTGTATGCTAAAGCTGAATGATCAGACACCATGACTTTTAGGAAGATAATACTCATTCTACCATTACATAATAAAAACAAGGGGTCAACACTTGTGTAATAGTAAAATGCCAGACCTGAGAGTGGGCTACTTTGTTCCAAAAAAAAAGGTCAAAGGTTAGGTCCACAGAAGATTGTACTGTCTTTGTATTAGAATGGGGATGGGGGAATATAAGGAACATTACATGGAAAGCAATCTGGCAAACTGCTATTAACAGTTCTTACTTGAATTGAAAGGTGATCAAGCATAACCCCTTCACGTCCAACAACTGGTGCTTGTGCAACAGAAGCTGAGACACCAGAAGCATTTGGTCTGGTCTTCAATGGTACAGTTCCAGCAGGGGACGAATTCCAAAGGTCCATTCCTATATTCAAATTGGCAGCAGGCATATTTACAACCGGCCTCCCAGGGACTGAAACTGGAAGCTTTGCAAGTGGTTGCCCCCTTGTACCAAAAGTTGTTTCAACAGTTGCACCACTATATTGAGCACTGCTGTTGTTCTGTGCACTTGCTCCTGAAGGAATTGTATGAACCATTAGAGCTAATATGACTAATTAAGCACACAGAGAATGTAATTACTTCAAATGAGCATACCATCTGCAAGCATCTGGTCAAAGCTTCTCTTCTTGCCATCCTGAAGACAAAAAATATATATATATGGCATAACCTAAAAATAGCAAAAGTGTAAAGTTTGCCACAAATGAATAGAAAATGGATAACGGTTCTTTGAACATATATGAGCTGGTATGCCATTTTCCAATGGGGTCAGTTAAGAAAAGTTTCCTAGTTAATCAAACCAAAGATTAGCTCCCTATTTAGACTACTTGACCCAGGCAACTTATCTTCAGCAATTTCTTTGACATTGGAATCAAATATTAGAGTCACATATAAATAGAAAACAGAAGGCAAGGACATACTTGTTGGTTAGTATTCTCATCACTTGCACTGGATGAACCCTCATTTCCACTTTCATCACTGTATATGAGCAATATTTACAGAAATGTTAATGCCAGAAATTTAATGCTAAGGACAATTAGTTTTTTTTTTTTTTGAGAAAAGGTATAGTAAATGAAATATTGACCAGAAAATGTATGAACAAAAGCAGTCATCCTTATATGGTAGGAGACTGATAGTTGTAAACAGCGGTACCTTGATCTACTTAAGAAAAAAGAGTTATTACAACTTCCACCCTTAACATTTCATCCTTCTGTGATTCCAGATTTTCAAATATTCACCTTTTCTCTTTCCTCCACACTATCCACCATAAAGTTGCCATAGGAATGGATTTTTTTCCCCTTCCTATTAAGACCTCCTATATGCCAACCAGTAAGAATCTCCATAGCTGTCTTTAGGAACACCCAACTGATGTTGGGGGAAGGAGGAAGTGTGCCCAAAAGTTTAAAGTTGATTGGGCAGTGCACAAAGAGATGCTCAGCTAATTTGAGCTCCATATTGCAGAACACAGCCAATATTCTGCTGATAAGCTTGTTCCTTAAGGCACTTTGCCAGGGGTGCAGTCCATGTCATAAAGGCCACTTTGGCTGAGCTACAGAAAATTAGAAACCCACAAATGCCTAATGGGAAAAAAACATGCATAAGGAAATCGTGGAATAGAAGCTATTGGGTAGGCCAACTCCCTCATGGGATGGTCAAGATCAGCCAATATATAGAGAAATTTATGCCTTACAAATCACCAAGGAACACCTTGTTCTCTTGGATACCTAGAAAGTCAACACATTTGTTGTTTACTTGTTATCAAATTCAAATTCAACCATACAACCCTTAGACCCTATCAGGTATGAAAGTAAAATCAAATCTATGATTTGAACAATCCAATCAAACCTGGATAAACCAAACCAGTCCAAACCTAATTCATTTACAGCCCTAATTTCAGGATAGGTAGTTGCTCCATACATCCAACTCTTTCTTTATCCTTTTTCTAATGAAAGGTCTGGGCTTCAGGAAAATTTTCTTTATACTTTTTCTAATTCATTAAAATTTTGCTTTGTCATTGATCTTTTTCTTTTTTTGAAGTTTTAGGCTTAATAACCTCTGTGAGGCACCGTCATTTGCAGATCCTGAAGCAGATTTTCTACTTTCTTTTCCTGAACTCCTTTTGGATTTCTTAGCTGAAGACCGATCCTTTCCATCAGAGGCTTTTCCTTCTGCTTCTGTAGTTGTTACTGCTGCACCCTGAGCCTATAAAGTATAAAAATAAATAAAATTAGAAAAAGAAATAGAGTTCATGATAATTGTGAAGAATTTGGTAACATCTTCTTATAGGTACAATGACACTCTTTATCTTTCTTGCCAAAAAAACAACAGTGTAAAAATAATGAACAAACAAAATAATCTTCAGACCATCCTATGAAGAAATAACATAGAAGAATTTTGGTTTCGAATCAAAACCAACCAAGAAAATGAAAAATATGCGATAATGTGAAGGATTGTACTTACTGCAGCCATGCTAGGATGGGCATAAAGTCCCCCATGAGGATATAAGGCGGGATACGGAAGTGGAGTTCCATATGGTGGCATTAAATGCTGAAAACCATGAGAAAATAGAACAAGAGTTTATCATTTGACATAGTTAAAGAGTCCTACAATAAGGGCAGATCCCCAATACAAGCTTAGAATTTTAGAGAATAGAGATAATCACCTGGCTTCCCCACAGATATGGATGGGGAGCAGGTGATGAAGCAACACTTGAGGTAAAAAATGGAGGGGGTGCAGTGGCTCCAGCACCATAGTACGCCTGTTCCAAGGAGCTAAGGAGTAAGCTACTAATATAATTCAAACAAGTAGTTGAACAAAATCCATGAAGATATATGAACAACAAAGTAAAGCCAGAAATAATTTTATCATAGACCTGTAAGGGGGTTGACCAATCAGGATATGAAGGCGTTGTTGGTGTCTCCTGTAATGCAAAAAGAGAATAATGAAACAAGAAAAAAATTGATGTATATCTATATATGTGCATTTTTACTGAAACCATTTAAAAGGACAATTTTTAATCATGATGATGATGGCGATGATGATGATGATGATGAT